CTTTAATTCTTTTTTTATCTGATAAAATCATTTAAAAACTTGACAGATAGAAAAAAACTGGGGAAGAGATAAGCTTAAGTTGCTCTAAAACTACCTTTTCTGCTATTTGACCGCTTTAAATTAAAATAAATAGGAGATTTAGTTCTGATTTTAATTGTGGTGGTTTCTGAAGAAACTCGAAAAACTAAATCTTTTTCGCCAACAACATCACCATCTAAGCCTTGTATTGGCCTCTATGGAAGTAACTTTTAAGGGTATAACTCCTCTTCTACCTGATCTTCCAAATATTCTAGTAAATTATTAAAATAGTTCACTTTATAACAATCTTTGATTGTTAGCATTTAACTGGAGAATATTTTATTAACTTAAATAATGAATTATTATATTTATAATGTTTTTTCGATATTTAAAATTCAAGCAACCTAAATCTCTCTAATTAAATAGAATTTTATTTAATCATTAAAAATAAAGCAGTTGAATTTATGAACAATACTTGATGTCATATTATAGTTCTATAATACTATAATTAAATCAATTAAAAATTTCATATTTTTATTTTAATATTAATGATATGAATTCAAGAGTCTAATGTGATATTAATTTTTTTAATTAATTAATTAATTGATTATTAATGATTTAATCAAAAATGATAGAAAAAGAAGAAGATCTTTTTTGTTCTTAAAAACATAAGCTTCCAGTCTTAATGATTGCTTGTGATAAAGAACTCAAGAAGAATTAAAGACTTTTGTGCCCTCTATGTATGGAAAATTTAGAATAAAAATCCCAATTAATGAGCTTTAAGAAGGCATTAGAAAATATCGAAGAAAATCAAAGGTAAAAGAAAAAATAAATTGAGAATGTGTTAATTACTAACATCAAATAACTTGAAGATCTCTAAAAAGCTCTTCATCAATTAAAATCTAATATTGTTCAATAATTGGATTAATTGATTGGAAATGCAAATGAATGGTTTAAACAAATTTAGATATGGGGACAATCAAATGTTACATATAGTTTCTTTGATGAATTAGAAAAACTAATTAATCAAACAAAACTTGATTAATCCGCTTAGAATTCTACAGTTGATCAAATTAATTAAATTAATTAATCATGGAATCAAAAGATCTTTAAAAAATTGGATTTATTTAAATCATTTTAAGAGACTTAGAAATGTGAAGAACTATTAATAAGTTTACAAAATGTTAATATATTAAAAGAGAAGCAAATATTGACCAAAGGAAATTAAGAAAATGATAGTAATAAATAAAAGGAAGTGATCTAAGTATATATTTAATGGAATTAAAGGAAATAATAATTAATGATCGATAAACAAATTGAACTTAAATTAATTGATGATTCTAATTAATAGAGTGGTTATTCTTATGCAATAGTTTTTGATAAAACTGGATCAATCATGATTTCTTGTGAGTATGAAAAGATTAAAATTTGGAATTTTGAACAAGGAAGATTAAAATTAATTAATACATATTAAAAACATAAAGAAGCTGTTACATGTTTGGTATATAGCAAATTGAGAAATAACTTTATTTCTGGTTCTCGTGATAATACTATCATCTGTTGGCAATAAATTAATTAAAAAGAGTGGAAATGTTCATAGCCATTCTAATAACATAATGATTAAGTTAATTGTTTGATGTTAAATAAACAGGAGGATCAACTTATTTCAGGAGGTTTGGATAATTCAATAAAAGTTTGGAATGTAGATTTTATTAAGAATGAGCTGAATTTTCAGTACTCATTAGATAAACATAGTAATAGTGTATACTCATTCTGTTTTAATTCAACTGAAACTGTATTGGTATCATGTGGATATTCAGAATTTATCATATGGGAGAAAGGAGTATAAGGAAAATGGGAATTTATATATACACAAGATGTTAAATATTATGATTATGGATATAAAATACATTTAATTAATGATCAACAATTTCTTTGGGTAACTAGACATAAGGATTTTGATGATATTTTGGTGTTTGAAATATAGAATGGAGTCTTTTAATAAAATATTAATAAAACTATCAAATTGACTAAGAATAATGAATGTGATGATGATGTATATTTCCCAATTATTTACAATAAGGATAAAAATATAATATTGGTAAGACATAAATATCATATCTATTTGATTAGCAAATTAAATGATGGCACATTTAATATTATTGCATCTTTAAATTGTTAAAATAATGAGATTTATGGAACTATGACCAATAATGGATAGTATTTGTTATTTTGGGATAACAAATATGAAAAGTATTAATCATATGAGATA